GGGGGGGAAACGGTGCATCACGTCCCATGACCAATCAGTCCGAGAGCAACGGGATTTTGGGGAAAGCTGATCTGTTTGATTTCAAGAAAACTGGCATTGAAGCCTTTTAGATGCTTTTCTATACTTATGAAGGACAAGCTTTATCTGAACGGACCTGCTGAGATAGTTCCTCTTCACTCGAGAGTTAGCAACGAAAGCGGAATATCCATTGTCAAAAAGTAATGCTGTGTGTGCATTTAGTAGTGGGATCAAAAGGGTGTTGTGTACTATGAGCTGCTGAGAACGAAGGAAACTGTTACTGCTGACCCCTACGAACACCAATTTGGCAGTTTGTAGGATGCTCTCATCTAAAAGCGGCCGTTATTTGCAAGAAACTATCATAAGGTGGTGTTCCACCACGACCATGCCAGACCCCATGTTGCGAAGAATGTCCTTTAAAAAAATCGCAGTTGCTGGATGGGATCAGCTTGTTCAGCCCGCATACTCTCCGGATCTTTTCGTAATAAATATGTTTTTGCACGCGAAAAAACGGCGGAAATTAATGCACACACCTAATAATAAAAGACATCCTTTTAAACATGATTAATTCAACAATGTTTTGATCCAGCTATTCCAGAAATTTCGCCTGATTGAAGGAGTACAAGTTCACCGACGAAGAATGAAGAACAAGAAACAAGGGACTCTGGTCTTGGGTCCCACGTTGTTAAAATGGGGAAGGCTGGAGGAAAAAGTAGGTGATGGAGGTTCTCAAGGAAGAATTGTTTTGTGGGAATTGATGTCTTTGTTAGTTTGAAGGCTATAGAGAAGTATGAAGAGTCCGGGTCTAGTATAGGAACCACTTATGGAAAAGGCGGAGTGCGAAGCTCATCTTGCATTATAAATGGTTATATCTGCTGTACGTGCGGTAATTCTCTATTGTTAAGCTTAGCTCTATCAATAGACTGAAAGATTGCGTAAAAGTGCAAATAGGACTTTTTGTTTCATAGTCAGTCAATCGGAACGGGTGTGGTGCGTTGGGTACGAAATGGTCGCGTCGCGGTGAGAGGGGCGTCGCGCGCGAAGGAATGTAGCAGGACGTAGCAGTAGGTAAGAAATACAAGAACAAAAGTACTAATAGTAGAATTATGCATAAAATAATGATCGCATATCGATTGAGCTGTAAGAAGGACGCTAGAGCTGTAACAACGGCGAATGAGTGGTCCGCGACAGCCGCGTGCGGCAAATCGTTACCCAGAATCGGTCCTAACGCCCATCTCTCAAATGGAACAGCCTAGCCTCAATGCACATGGCGTCATTCCCACGCGAAGTGTTACGGTGGAGGCATGGGAGTTCTTACGTATCCTCGTCGCACACACAACAATATCGGCAGTCAGATTACAAGCTTCCACCCTTTGAAGGAGATTTCGGAAAGTAATGGTTCTGAAGGGAAGATCACGTACAGTTAGTTACATGGTGCCTATTGCTGTAGCCTAAAACCGCTTCCTTTCAGTTTTTGGATTTTGGGAATTGCAGTATTGGGTTGAGTGTAGCGAAGATAGTGAACCATTTGACAACACCCTGAATGAGCCCTTCAATTCGACCAAATTTTCTTCCAAAGCGGTGTCTCTTGGAAATACGCGGCACCATCTAGCTGTGAAATCACCCCGATGAACTGTGGTTAATAAATTACTTACAAATGCTTGTATTGTCGCATTAATCGTGCTTCTTTGTGCATCTCTTGCATCAAAGCCTTATTCTCTTCTTTCACTTTCGTCTTAATGCAAGAAATTGTAATACTAGAAGAACAACATGAAATGATACTGCATTGTTTCCTAGTTTCGCCGGCGGATTTTGAGTTCATCTAATTTATGTAATTTATGTAGTTATGTAGAATTGCCATCCTCCCCCCCCCCCTTCACCCCTTTCCTTATCACAGCGATGGTGTAACCATTGGCACTTGCTTTATCCGGACGCTGTAAGTGGGTTCCTTTTGAATTGTTCCACAGGCCCGTCTGTTGTTCTGATGAACTACTTACTGTTCCATGGGTTAAAAAGACGTACCACTTTGATGGCAACCTGGACCGTTGTGGAAAACTGCTTCAGGGTTCCTTTCCAAACTTCGCCAAAAGCTCCTTCTCCCAGTTTTGAATCCATACTTATTTTATCTTTTGACAGCTCCCATGCTTGCTTTGGAATCGGCCTGATGAGCAATGCTTCAGCTCCCACAGGTATCTTCTCAGTAAAGTGTTTTCTGAAAGATGTTTATCTGGTACGAGTCAGCTCGCATAGGCGATTTGAAAACATTAGAAATGTGGGCGTCTTGAGAAAAAACAAGGTTCAACTGCTGAATTGTTATCGAAGACAATGAGGTCCTATAAGATTGACTTGACAGACCCCCTCTACTTCTCACAGTACAACGAGGAGAGCAATTTTTGCCAGATAGTAGCGGCTGATTCGCCTCTGCTTTGAACTTTTATGACAGTTTTTATATTCATTTCTACAGGCCGTAAAGGAGTGGCCTTAAAGCAAACTTTGGTGAGTTTTGTAAACTTTAGATCATCGTGCTTGCCTATCTTTTCATAGCTAAGAGATCAGCGTCGTAGGCCGCTGAAGCGACGGAACCCTCAGATCCATCGGACCAAATTTAAGTAGTACTTACTGAACTATGGCAATGGCGGTGGGGGCTTTGTTGACGCCATCTATCGTGAAGAACGGTCGATTCATTTGTTGAACCGTGTGTATAGGAAAGTCCTTGATGTGATTGTCTACCCGCACCGTCAAGCATGGCTGAAATTATTTCTATCATCATTTGTATAACTGGTAGTTTCTCAGTATGGTTTCCAGTTGTAACGGAGCCATGTTGCAAGAAAATCCATCTCCTTCCGAGGTCAACTGGAAGCGGGCAATTTTTTCCAGTACTGATAGCCGGAAAGCTACCGTATCCGTCGGAGGAGCTCACACATGAAGGAGGACTAAAAGGTGGAGTACCCATACTAAGGACGTGCTCACTGTTCATTGTTGCTCTTGTAGGTAGATTTACTAGTCATGCTTCAATGATTATCATTGCCCATGATTACCATGATTGTTTTTTTTT